AACATATTTATTCCTTTCAGCAAAGCAAGCTGTACCTTGGTAAGGGCGAAAATAACGAAAGTGGAACTGTCGGCTCTGATTCAGGTCTTGTTTCTGAGCCGCTTGATTCACCTTTGTCAGATACCAACTGTAGTTTCTCATTATCCATTAGTGATGGGTCATCCCCAGTACCTATTACCAGTCTTCCTCCAATCCTTCCTCCCTTGGTTCGTATCGAGCTCATGCGTCGACGCCGCCCCTTCGGCGAGTCGCTCATCCGTCTTTTCAATTGTTTATCGCGACAATCGAGAAATCTTGAAGCTGGTGACCGGCTTTCTTTGGGGTCTTCGAAACCGAAAATCCTGAAAAGTGGTGCTATCAACCGTGATTCGGCAAATTTTGACTCGTCAACGGGCAGGCCCGTTACGCGACAATTGCCTGTATTTAATAATCTTCGTGCCTACACTTCTTTTTTTCGAACGAACTCAGGAATTGCAGAATTTCTTGACCCTACAGATTCCACATATCTCAGCGATCGAATTGCTCCTCTCCTAACATATACACTTTCAGACCAGACGGCCAGGGAAGCTCAAGTGCAGGCGCTTGGCTTACTTCATGCTGAATCATCTATGGATTTAAGTTCGAAAGGCTCAAACACACACTCCTTGCAAGCTGTTTTGACCAACTGTCAGGTCTCAGTGGCAGAGATAGGCACTACGACTGCGTTTCACGACTCATTCAGCAATTTTTCACGCAACTATCGTCTTCCGACCTTCTTGGACGACTTCCCGAGGAACCGTCTTCAATTAGGCGTTAAGCTGGGTGAGGGGGCTTTCGGAATTGTGTACAAGGGCCTGGCAACAGATCTTCCTCAAAGGTTGGGCCGATCAGAATGTGCTGTGAAAACACTTCGATGTAAGCCCTTTTCAGCCGCCAGTATTACTTAAAAATCCTTATATTATGTATTCATATATTTCACCATCTCAATAAATTACTTTAATTTTTCGCTCCTTAAAAAAACATTTACGGTCTGTTTAT